TTTTTATATGTACTCAAAATAATGAAATGAATATATATATATAGTTAATTTATCTATATGTATTTATGAATGCTATTATTCTAGAATCTGTTTAGGTATGTGTGTAGATGTGAAAATTAGGGCCTAAAACCATCATGGAACAGGGCCATTGTGATGCGCTTAACCGACATTCGGAATGAATTTGAATGCAACCAAGTTGACTAGTTGGAGGCTTGACATTTATGAATCAACCATATATAATTCCTACTCAATTTCCTATCACATCACATTCATTCCGAGTATTTCCTTATTTGTTACTAGCGCTAGCCTCCCTTATTTTGCGGTTATCAACAGACGTACCACATCATTATTACCTTAGAGGATCAATCTAGACGCAATTGCAATACCTTTATACTTGACGTGATGTTATATGTCGGTGCTATAGCGATTTGCACCACTATTAATTGAAATGAGACTTTATTTAATATGCCGCTCAACCCAAAAGTCCATTTTTATTCAAACTGGACAGTAGTCTAGAGCTTGTGTCATCGCCTCATCAACACGCTTAGCTTAAATCGAACCCTATCTGCAGTCTTAGAGGTACATTTGCTAACATGTAGGCAATCTAAAAATAGCACCACTTGCATATCCGGTCACTTTTTTGGTGAAGTCTTTTCTTTCGATAGGAGAACCGATGTTTGCCGTTGATTTAGAGACCCTAGTGATTGCTAAAAAGTAGCAAGTTCTCCCTGAAAGTCATCGCAAACAGAGAGCTTTAACCTACCTTGTCTACAATTTGGTGATGCTTCTCTTTCCTTCCTCCTGCCTACTCCCACTTATTTGACTTTTTACTCTTTTTCAACTCATCCGTTTTTAGAAGTGCCCGCCCCATGCGGGATTAACCTCGAACGTCAACTGACCAACAGCGTCCTCATCAGCTGGCGTCCACCAGAACCACCGTTAATTGATTCGCAGGGTGAGGTACACGCTTACTACATTTATGTCGACGGGCAGTTCCGGTGTGCAGTCAAGGCCTGCGAAAAGAAGCGAGCTTTGCTGGACAATGTAGACGTGGACAAGGTATTAAAGACTTGGGAACCATCTTTTGGCAATGTTTATCTTGAAGGTATCAGAGGACAACGTAAAGATCTGCTTAGATTAGGTTTATTCATCCTGCAGACCAGAAGTGGTATCCTTCTGCTGTTTGGCATGATAAGCTAATCTATAGTCAACTTTATACATCACAAATAAATATGATTATATATGAAGCTGATTATTTATCATGATAATTTGCTTCTCATGCCTAAATAAAAAATTCACAACTACTTAGTTATTCAGAAGAAATGTGTTAATTGGCCATAGCATCGGAAAGTAAATGCAGGAAAAGTGATTTACTGTCATTTTGTGTGCTACCGTATGGCAACATTGACTTTTTAAACTCAAGATATGGCTTCGAGTTTTGATTCAGATGCTGATGAATTCAGGCGAGGTCAAAATCGCAATACGCATCTTCCGGCAAATCTCTTCTGGGACAAGCCTAAGAGAAGGAGAATGGCATGGTGGAGCCTTCAATTCACATCATTATGAGCAGCTCACCCATCGGACTCTGCTTCGTAACATCAGTCTGTGCTTACCATAGTTTAACCGACTTTTAGTTATTCGAAAGAGGTGTATGCCAGACCTTTTAAGAACTATATCACAGTTGAGACGCTTTCATTATCTGGCACTCTGTCCTGTTTTAAAAGAGCACAAACTCTTATACTCGAATGAGCCAAAATGTAGGCCTGACTGCACTATTAGCATTTATATTAGATTAAAATATGTGTTGTTTTTCAGAAATGTTTGCAGTGATTTTCGGTACTGTGTTAGTGGCTGTTTTATGCTCACATAGTTGTCTTCTCGAGTAAATGGTGTATTGTTTTCTGGAGAGTGATAGTAATATCCTTTCTGAATGGTGAAAGGGGAGCTACGGAAGACTCGATCTTATGTTGTCCGAAAGAAGCCAACCAAAATTGGTAAAAGTTTATTCTTTTTGCTTTTTTCCTCTTTTTATATCAGCCTCACCGAATCTCCGTGCGCAGTTTAACCAGCTATGGTCAGTCGAAAGATGCCCAATGTACCCTCGTGGTTGGCAAGGGGGCCACTGCGACCCCGGCTCGCCTCAAGGCCACTCAACTGACGGCCAGTTCCGCAAAGTTGAGCTGGTTGCCGAGCAACTCGAACCTGCCACACATCATCTATCTGAATGATTACGAGATACGAGTCTGCCCACCAGGAGTATACAAGCTTTTACTTACAGGTGAGCAGACCTAATGAGTTAATGCGCTGTGTAAAAAGGTCTAATGACTGAAAGAAACAGGAGATTAATGTCCATCCGAATGTAGATCATGGAGGTCAAGTTGCTAGTATCAAATATTCAAGATTCGTGTTTCGTTTATAAATAGATTTTTCAAGACCATAATTGGATCATTTACATATAAAGTATATTCATCCCATTTCGTTTAAGGTGATAAGGTGACGGCTGGTTGAATTTTTCCATTGAATTTCACATAAACTTGCCTTATTATCTTAAAATAAATAGAAGGAATATACTTCAAATAACCTAGATTTATGTGCTTTTCTTAGCTCCACTTTGCTAAATTCTGCTATCAAACTCTAGAATGTCTTGCAATAGTGGAAAAGCGATAAACTCTGGCTTAGCTTAAAGACGCATTTTTAGTTTTAACAATTGATACATCATTACCTCGAAGAATGTGTAGACCATTTCCTACTTTGATTATTATAACTTCTATACTTATTGTACTTAGTAAGATGTATCATCTAAAATTCTTACTTTGCATTTAAAAGTAGGTTATTGAGACTATCAGTATGATAAATATCTGAGATTTATTCACTCTAATTCGTTTAAGGTGATGAAGGCTTGGCAATTAAATTTTTACACAATGCTATGAGTGAGTCTTGCGCTTCCGTTGAATTTCGTTGTATTCATAATATTGCTTTTATATGCTTCACATATTTTGAGTATACTCCTTCGTTTACTGGTTGGCTTGAAAATAACTACGAAAACGTAAAATAAACAGCGAGCAAGAGAGTCATTAATATTAGTATGTAAGCGTATATGGACGGAATTTGATCAACAGTTTGCCTTATACCCAGATTTATGGGGCTTACTGAAGTGGTCCCTGTCCGGTACATGTTTGAATTTAGCATAAGCCCTTCGCTGCAGCTGGCAT